TATTTGATTAATAAACATAGTCTTGATAAGTAATCATAGATAAATATTCCTGTATATATTAAAAATATAGTCTTATTTAATAAGATAATTCTTTTAATTTAGGAAAAGTAATTCTACTTGGGGTTCTAGTAGATTATTTTATGTTTATATAATATTATAGGGCTATTTATTATTAATCAGAAATATATAATTCTTAATCTTTAATTTAAGTATTTATAATTATTACTCTAGTAGAATCCGCACAGGAGACCTCTGGTATTAATAATTAAATTTTAGTCTGAGTTTATAAAAAGTATTCTAGATATATTAAAGCTATAAGTAATATCTAGTATTATATATAGCTAGCTATACATCTTATAGCTTATCTGTTATATTTAGATTAATTAATTATTTAGTAACATGTTCATGCTATCTAAAATTATTTATAATATATTATTTATTTTCAGTCTATATATTCTGCTTCTGATTATATTATTTTATATTTAAGTGTTTGAAGTATCTTACTTAATCTTGATAGAAGATCTATAAATACTACTTATTAAGAGTAGCTGACAGGAAATGTTATTCTTTCTAAAAAAAGATATAAATAATTATTATATCTTTTTAAGAGTCTAAGTAATTGATGGTCAGTCTTGTATTTTATAGAAGATATTTATAAATAGAAGTACACTTAATATATAGCTCAGGATATTTAGTAAGATATATAACTTTTTTAATCATTTTTTCTCTTACCAGTTCTAATACGGAGAAGGGGATTTACTTGATAAGAGTAGTAAATAAACTATAAATACTGAGATTCTCTTTCATATGGCGGGCATATTAAGAATTTTATCTAGATTTTATTAATAAAGTATAATATAATATAATTATAAACCATGCTACTAGCAGTATATTTATTAAGTATTATTATCTTTATTAATATACTGGCTTACAAGAGATTATGTATAGTCTTAATTCTGATAAAGAGTTTTTAAAGATTGTTACTTAGATAAGTTATTAGATTAATTAAAGATAATTATAATATCTGAATAATTTTGATTAGGCATTAGTAGAGAAAGATCTAGAATTATAATTAATTATATATTAGTAATCTGAGTTAGAAACTCAGTGTAGTAATTAATTCCATGATCTAGTCTTACAGATAATGCTGGAGGACCAGAAGTATTAAGTCTATAATATATACTGATATCTGCAGGATAAATAATAAAAGGAAATATACTGTGATTTTAATTAAAAATAGATGATAATTAACATAGAAAAATAGCTAACTAGTAGAGCTATCAGTAATAATTCCACGCATAAGGTATTATAGAAGAAGTTTACTATATTACTAAAATAGATTCTTCTTATAAAGATATTCTTTACTTAATCTATTACTAATTTATTAGAAGATGAGTAGACATGGCATAATAAAATTATTATAGCTAGAATAAATTACTGCAGCTTTCAGGAAGAAGATCTTTTTTAAGGATGACTAAAGTACTTTATATAGTCTAATAATAATAATATAGTTCTACCTCTACTAGCTTAAAAGAAAAAGACTGAAACACAGCTGACTGCGCTGTGGAAGAAGGAATATAACTTTAATAAATATTAAATTCTAAATATAGAATAAATATTTATATGCTTCTAATATTATAAGATATACTTTGATTATAATAGAATAAAAAGATATTTTCAAATATTATATTTAAGAGACTAAAAATATAATTTTTATGATCTGTCTGTATTGCATAAGATATATTTATAGAAATATACTGAGGATGTCCATGGCCTTTGAATATAAATATTAATATTATATTTATCTAATATTCAAGACTTTTTATTTATTTATATGCTTTTCCTTCTTTTATTATAATTAATATATAATTAGTGAAGCTCTGGTTGGGTTATTCCAAGGTTATTTGGTTTAATAGGATACTATATAGAGGAACAGACTATTCATTTTTCTGGATTTTTTTATAATAAATCTATAATATTTGAAGTAATAAGAACACATAACAAAATATCCCTGAAACTCTTATAAAAATCTACTCTATATATATAAAAGTGTTTGACTTATGGAACTAAATTATAATAGATTATATTATTATTAGTAGCTATACCATGCTTTTCTATAGTTCCTGGTGCCTTAATTAACTGCCAGTCTATTACTAATACTATTTATAATTAGTACCAGGGCCATAAATCTGACAACCTGGATTAAATATATTCTTAAATACTGAGAAATTACCTGGACTCCAGCTACACAGGCCATGATTTTTGTATTACTGAATTATCTGATTAATTTATTATAGCTGGGCTTTATAATCTATCTTTTAAGATCTTGATAATAATCTTCTAAATTCTATCTTTTTTAATAATTCTATTAACTTGTCTTATTTCTTAATATTTTTATATTATTTTATTATTTTTTCTTATTTCTTTATTCTATGTACAGTGCAAGATATTACAGTTTCAGAGAAGATTATAGTTATTCCTAGAAATTATTATTAGAAATAATATTAGATAATACATGAAGTCAGTCTCTTTTGACAGAATTGAGGAAATTCTGTCTCAGGAGTTTATATATCTATATAAATTCCTGTTCCAGCTATTATTACAGTTACTTAATATATAGCAGTTTATAATTTCTGGGGATTTCTATTTCTTGTTTATGTTGAGTAATTTTCTATTTTAATATTTAAAAGAGCTTTACTGTGTAGAGAATAAACCTATAATATAAAGAATTATTTATTTTCTTCTGCAGCTATTTTTATTATTATTAAGAAAATATTATTATAATATACTGCAGTTACCTGTAACTAATCTTCTGATTAAATAAATTTTACTGGATAAATATAATCTTAATACAGAATCTTTATATATAATAATTAGAAGCTGTAAGTATTTAATAAGCTTACAGTATTATTATTTTTTATTATATTTAATCTTTTAGATATTTATTTTTCTTAACTTATAAAATATATATACAGCACTTCTTATTTACAAGTAAAGCTTGAAGAAACTTATTATTGAAGATTATAAGAATAATATTACTTAAAATAAGATTTCTAAGTATGGATTCTTCGAAGACTTTCCTGCTTTTAATAAACTAGAAGTTAAGTATAATATTCTTAATATATAACTTTCTTTACTTCTATTAGTGTGTTCAGTAGTTATCAGATATTATGATTCTATTATAATACTAGATATAATATCTTATTTAGGCAGGTATCTAACAGTGGAACTAATCTAGTTTAATTATATAGATAAAAGCATCAGTTATTTTATTTAATATTAACAGGATCTGGGAATAATATAGAAGGATATCTAGATTAAATCTATTAATCATGACTAGACTCTTTCTGAATATATATATTATATATAAAGGTGATCTTGGCAGTCATAGAAAATTAACTTAGACTAATATATTATTAAAGATTTTTTATTAGTTATTCTCTTATCTGTTATGGTATTACTTCTACCTATCTAAAAATAATATTCTTTTTTTATAACTTTTATATTACTCCTGCGCTGCTTCTTTCTTGGCTGATCTATATAATTATAATCTAAATATACTACAGACTGGAAGTATGGTTAATATATTAAGATTTATATCTAAAAAATAAGAAAAATAAATACATGGAAAAGCTGCAGAAGATTTTATAAGATTATATAATATAAAATAAAGAAATCTTTATACAGTAATTTTTAATCACTACTCTACAGGGTTATCTGATAATATAGACTAAATATACTTTTACTTTATATATATATGATTAGATACTATTTTAATCTATTAGTAATTAATTTTTAAAAGTCTATTAAAGAAGCTAGAATTTATTATATAATATAGCTAAAGAAATCTGGCATATAATAAAGGCACTAAGAAAATATATTTAATATTTATTAGACTCTTACTAAAATATTTAATCAGCTGCTGCCTTGACCATAGTAAATACTTTTATATTATTTTATTAGTAAAATAGATGACTCTGGTTAATAAGATTAATACTTGTGGTTCTAGTGGGGTGGCTGCTCTTTTAATAGCAGAAGTTATAAGTCTTATTAACTAGTTATTAAGCTAATTAAATAATAAGAATTTAGAATCAACTGGTATCTACAGAGAGCCTTGTTTTGTAGTAATAGTCTATTTTCTTAGATATCTAGATATAATAGATTAATAAGATCTTATTTCTTAATTTTTGGTAGGATAACTATAGGCCTAAAAATATTATTTTATTTTTAAGGTAGTGTTTGAATATTCTCTGCAGATAAGTAAAAACCATTTAACTATTCTCTAATTAGCTTTAACTTTATAAAAGATATTATATAATGTTAGTGCTGCTTTCTTATAAAAGAATTAAGAATTATGTTTTATTTTTAATTTAATACTGATAATAATTATTACAATTTTAATCTATATCTAAAGTATAAATTAAACAAATGAAATAATAGGGTTATATAATATATTGAGTCACTGGTTTACAGGAATAAATTAAGAATATAGTATTTATCCAGTTTTCTGAACTTAAATAGTCATGAATATACTGGACTTATATTTAAGACAGGATTCTAGTGCTTTTCTGAATAATCCTATTAAATACTTTAATCTTCAGTACTGAGGGTTGCTGCGGTAGTCTAAAGGATAAATAGGTATTCTTATCTTACAATTAATGATATACTTTAGAAAGCTGTACCACAGCAAGCTTGTTATCTGTAACCATCTTTAAATTATAAGAATCCTGCTTTATATACTGATATACTTTTATTTTTTCTGTTTCTTTCTATTATTTTTAATTATTCTTTCTTTTTTGGTTGCTAGTCTATCTATATTTATATAGAGTATAAATACATTGATTATTTATATAATTACAGCTAGTAATATCTTCACTGGACTCTTTCTGGCCTGAACCCTTTTTATTCTTATGAACTAGACAACTCTGCTTTCTGTTTTAATTTCTTGATATCTAACCCTCTTTTTTATTATTTATAGGTATCAGCTTTTAGAACTATAGTCTCAAGTCAGTATTCTTCTGTATATATCATATACTGTAATTAATATCTTTCTTATTCTCTTTAAAATAAAATCATTAGCTGGTGCTGGATGTCGGGCAGGGAAATTAGTTCTAGTTAATCTAATTTTCCTATTATCAGTAATTTATCTAAGTAATTTAACTAATCTTCTTAATATTACCTGGCACACCTGTCACAAAATTTACTGTATTATTAGTTGGATAGCTATTATTCTGCTGTTATTTCATATTATTATAATAATTTAAGATTAGTAATTTAGCTTTCTGCTCAATTAATTATAAAATCTATTTACTATAATTATATATCTCTTTACTCTTATTATTAACTCTAGCTAATATTAGTCAGGGTGCTATATCACTGGGTATCCTTACTTTGTTTTCTATTCCATGGTTTTATCAGTAATTATATAAGATCTTTCTCTAAGAATATCAGATCCTGATAGAGACTTTTATCTATAATATCTAGTATTATCTTCTAACAAAGAACAGTTTTCCAAAGCTTTATTTCTGGATTATTATGGGGATGTTGGGGCTAATCTTATATTTACAGCTAATATTATTATTATATTAAAATAAGCTATTTACTGGCCGCGGTGCTTCCAGGACCTTTATATTCTTTATCTTTAGAAAATTAAAAGAGAGCAATCTTACTGTAATAATTATCTAGATTTATATTCTCTTGCCTTGACCAGTCTATGTTAAGATTAAACAGTATATCAATCTCTGAATATTATTAATTAATTTATAATTATAAATATAGATATACCCATTTATAGTTATATTATAGTCTTGTAGTAGACAGGAAACCATAAAGCTATTTATATAATTATAAAGTAATTTATTTACTAATTTTATTAATCATATCTCAGTGGCTGCAGAAAGCTTAATATCTTTCTTGGTCTTGTTCACTAGATCTTATAGAATAAATAAGAATATTAGTTAATATAAGAGTGCCTTGTTTATTATAAGTGGGTTTAGAATAGTTATAGTAATTCTATATTTTAAGAAAATAATCTATGGTTATAATATTTATATTCTATAGATTTGCTAGCTTCACTTGGTATAACAAGTAGAGTTTATTAATAAGAATAATAGTCTATAAATCCTTAATAATACCAGCTAATAAGGTAGACATAATAATAGTAGTCTAGGACTTGTTTAATAATCTTCTTGAGAATAATATTATAAATAAAGACTATGTTTATAATAGATTTTAATCTCTGGAAAACTTTATCTTATATTAACAAGAATCATGGTTCTAGATTCTCAATATATTTATTTATATGAAGAATGGCCTTGCATATAGTAAAATACTATTTAAAAAATATAAATAAGTCTGTCTTTACCAAGATATGTCTGATTATAGAAGTATTATCTTGCTGGAGATATCTGATAACTAGATTAAAAGATTGTTAAATATCTGGAACAAGCAAGGTTAGATACTGGTAATAGATAAGAATCTTAATCTATTTTATTAATAAGATATGCTGAACTTTCTTATCAGTCTCTATAATAAAAGATCTCAGAGATTATATATAAAAGATTATCTGAGATTACCTGTATTAGGGTATAAAGCTTTTAGAAGTAGAATATTAGTCTAATACTGGTTAAACTATTGAATAGTAAGTTTGGTATATATACAGACTATAGTATATTAAAGATAGAAAGAACCAGTAATACTGTGGGTAATAAATAGAATTTATTATAATATACTTAGCAGTAAATACAGTACAGAGTAGTAGCTGTTTTTTTTTTTTTTTTGGGAAAGATAATAATGAAATATAGACTAGAAATTTAATTTTTACTATTTAGATTTTTTTATTTAGTTATAGGCGGTACAGCATGTTTCTTGATATTTATAGTGATAAAATAAGTGGGACAGTTATATCTTCTGTTCTCAGAACTATAATTTTAGTATTTAGACTGTGATTTTTTGATGTTTTGCTTCTTTGCTCCTTTACTACTTTTAATCATTATTTTTCAATTATTTTTACTGAGGTCTAGTTGGTCTAGTCCTTTAATAAGAGAAAGTTAGTTTCCTTCTCTTTCTATAATATTTTTATTTAATTAGTTCTTTTAATATCTTTCTTATTGCCCTCTATTCTATTATTTATTATTATTAATTATTCTTGCAGGCTGGTCCTATTAAAATAATTATTATTATAATCAGTCTCCAGGTGAGTAAGACTTATCTAATCTAGTTTTATTTACTTATTTTTCTTAAAGAAGATCCACCAGAACAATAGACTAGACTAGGATAAGAATATATATTTTAATGTAAGTAAATCCTCTGTAATACTTATTATATTATAAATAATACTTATCTTAATGCAGCTGGTTAACCAGATTAATAAATATTTCAAGTAAATTAGATGATTAGATAATCTACAGAAGATAGATATCTTGATACAGGCTTAAAGTAAGGGATTTATCTAGTAGCATATTCTAAGTATTGACTAAAGGATTATATTCTTAATATACCAGGATAGCTGCATGAATATATTTATTGTCTTAATTATTATAGAGGTAAGTCTGCTCTCTCCAGTTATTCTTAGTAATTAACAGATTATGTTATAGATATGTTCAGGGATAATATTTATTATTCTAGAAATAATATAATTTTATAAGATTAGATAATTGAGATGTGTTTATATATGATTCTTATTTTTTCTAGCTTGTTCGGGATCTAGAGACTGATCTGGAGTAGGTCTGGAAGCTGAGGAGGTCTTAGATAACTGATATCTAGTATAAACTTAAATATATTAGCTTTATAAAATACTTCCAGATATAAGAAGCTATTCAGGATAGTATTTCACTAGGTAATAATTCTCTTTATCTTAATCTGCTTGCTGTTACTCTAATATTCTAATCTAACTGTATATTTAATGTTTTTGAAGATATAGATATTATATAACTTTTTTTATCTCTGTTTAATATTTACTTATCTATAAGTAATCCTAGAATACTGGTCTCTTTAAATAATATCCTATAAATATATATCAATCCTGATCTGTAGATAAGTGATATATATAATGATTAGATATTAGATATTACTGAGATATCTGATATAAGTCAGCTTTTTATGATTCCAGGAATAATTTCTGTTAGTATTTCTTTGTTAATTCCTGGGATGGTGTTGCCTGCAGTAACTATTTCTATACTTAGACTTAATAAAGTTATATCTAGTTATTCAATATTTTTTATTATATGTTTTGACTCTTCACAGATGGGGGAGTAAATTCTTCTAGAAGTAGGAGTTATTATACTTAACTAATCAATTAAGAGAAAGAGACTAGATAATAACTTGTTGATATAATCAAAAATAATAATAATTATAACTAAATCAAAACAGATAATTCTCTACTTATTATAATCTTGTATATTCTATAAAGTAGATAAGCTTAAGAAGAAATAAGATTAGAGAATCTGGAAAATTCTTGAAATATAAGTTTAGCTTTCTGTGAAGGACCCTTGCAAAGTGCTTTAATCCTTGTTAAATAAGTAGAATAATAATATATTACTTGAATTGCATGTACTGGGACTTCTCATTATCTGGAAAAACATAGAGAAAGCTGTGAATTATATTCATGTACTTGATATTTATATAATAAAACCATTTCTTGATCTTGTTATAGAGTAAATCAGACAGGTATTATTCTACTTTAATTATAAGGATCTCTGTAATCATTTATAAGAGTACTCTTGTATTCCTATATCAAAGTTAATAATGATATTTATTCTTAATTTAATTAGGTTATTCTGTGCTAGAGAAAGATGTGTCTTGACTTTGGTGGCTGTTAATGTATTAATCTGAGTAGAGTCTTTTATTATACAGTACTGTAGCAGTTCTTATATTTTTTCTAGCAGTTTCTTGTTTCCAGGACAGTGACAGTATAACTACAGCTATTAAAAGATAGTATACCAGGCTATTGGATCTCAATGTTATTCTGGTATTAGAATAGTCTAGAGTAGAGTATACAGTTAATAAAAAGGATAAGCTAGATACAGTTGATTTATTCTCAGTAGTATCAGAATCTTTAAATAGCTCCGGGATATTATTTTCTCAGGAATATAGATTTCTAACTAGCTCAGATAACTGATTTAGCTCTGTATTCTTTTTATAGTTTAAATAATATATACTATCTGAATAGAAATCCGGCTTCAGCTTTATTAATTTTTGTTGGTAATCACCTACAGTAGATATATTACTAATAATAGTATTTGCTTGTTTAATTATAGATATAAGTATAGTTATGCAGGGTACATATAAGAATTAAGAAGTCTTTATTTTTTTTATATCAAGAATAGCTTCTGAAGAAAAAGAAGAAAGTTAAAAAAATAAAGTAAAGATAACTGATATTTATTATTAAGTACTCTGCCAGCTTACCTATTAAGTTATTTTTCTGTATATTAGAAGGATTATAATTTAGATAGTTTATTTTTATAGAATATGTAACTAGTATTAAGTATCTTAATAATCCTGAGTCTGCCAGTGCCAAACTTCCATGATCTAACAGTATATTGCGGGTAGTTGGTATATTTATTATTATTATAATTTCAATATCTTTAGTGATTTGGGGCTAACTAGAATTATTATTAATTATAATATCAAACATGTTCTACTTATGAGTTGTGGTAGTTAATAGCAGTACTTATTCTAATAATGTCTTATATAATTATTAATAGAAACCAAATCTAGTAGAAGAATAATGGTGGAAATTTTAAGAATTATAAGCTGTAACAGTATTAACAGATATTTTTTTTATACTGGTGGATATTTGCTGGAGACTTAGATTATAATAGAACTTAATTTAATTAAGATTTATTTTTATCTTCCAAGCAAGTGATAAGACGCGGCGGAGGCAGATAGTAATAAATAAATTTTTAGATAAAAATATAATGGTGAAAGGATTTAGATATTCATATCTGTTTTAATTTAAAAGAAGGGAGTTAGTTCCTGTTTTTAATACTTAGTTATTACTAGAGTATTATTAAGAATTATGTGGTATAATGCCTTGCAGATTAAATATAACTGAGAATTATAATACTACTGTTTATTTGATCCTACTTCTGCTGGTAATTAGTACTAGTTTAGAAAGAGTTTCTAGGAAATTTAGCCAGACTATCTTATTAGAGGGTATCTTTTGGATACATAGTATTTACTATATAAGAATTTCTTATTTTTTATTTTATAATATTACTGTCTTTGAACACCTTGGCTGTCTACTGAAGGATTAAGAAAGATT